TTTTTTTAAATTGCAGGATAGAAGGTCTCCTTAATCAATTTTTTATTAGTTTTTATTTTTAATTTTTTATTTTTTTTTTTAAATTATTAATTTTATGACTATTAGTAAAAGAAAAAAAAATACAAGAGATAACAAAAGAAACGAACGTACAATTAGATAATTAAACTTTTTTCTTTTTTTAATTCACGTCACGATATCAATTATAATTAATTGACGTATTAACCCGTTGACTGTTAAAGTGTTATTTTTTTCGTATAATACAAAAATTTACTCTAGTTTAAGGATATTTAATAACTAGACAAATAAAACTCTATATTTGTCAATTTATACTTATTTAAACAAAAATAAATTTTATTTATCTTAGTTCATCTATTTTAATGCTATAATTCCTTTTATCTTTATTTATATAATTTAAATATAAATTCATTATAAGTTAAATATATTTTTCATATTAAATCAAAAGACAAATCAATACATATATATATATATTTAATTATTTAATTAATTATTTTAATAATTTCAATTTTATAATAATAATTACTGAATTATTAAAAATCAATATATATATATTTAATATATATATAATAAATTTAATTAATTATAAAAATAATATAATATCAATATGTATATGTAATTATATTTATATATAATTTTAATAAATTTATATATAATTAAATTATTATAAATTATTATAAATTATTATTATTATTATTATTATTATCATATATTTTTATTTTATTTAATTAAGTATAAAAATAAGGTAACATATATATTGTTGTAAATGATTTAAGTGATATAAAACGTTACGTGACTTTTTTCTTATGAGTAACTTTAGAATTAGATGAAAACACGTTTAATAATAATAATGTTAAATGAACTATTAAATAAATAATGACTAATGTAACGACAAATATGAACACGTAAACATCCAAAAGTGCTACTTGCCACCAATATAAATTCAAAGCTGGTGAATGAAGCGAATTATATCCATGCTTTATAACATATTCTATCCAATAATTAGCAGTGTCAATTGGTTTCAATGGTCTGTCTATAAATTTATCTGCTATTATACGTGCCGTTTTCCTACAAAAATATTATAATAAAAATATAAATTATTATTGAAATTGTTGAAAAGAAAAAAAGAAAACAATCACAAACTGGTGGCACGAGAAATAGAAATTAAATAAAGGGGTGGGTTTAAAAGGTGGGGTTGTGTTCGATTACATGAATAAAAAAATGAAAAAATTTATTTTGAAATCTCCCCCCCTGTCATCACCACCACCCTCTTAAACCATCCTCTTTCCCATTACTTTCTAGTATTGGTGAATACGTGCCTGTATGTTGAATTATATACGATTTTGTGCAATGCATCGTTCATGTCATTTTGCGTCATGGTTTCGTAATCCAATTTGATAGCAATATTTTTCTCTACGTAGCTTTCGATATTGGTAAATTGATCAGCGAATAACGGGATTCCGATCATAGGAACGCCGCAAGCTATGGCTTCTTGCGTCCCCATAAGACCACCATGAGTAATAAATGCTCTTATGTTGGGATGCTCTGTAAAACGAATTATTAGATAAATAGAATATTATTAATAATTTATATTTAAATTATTACAATATAAAATATATTACACATAGAAATTATATACTATATATAATAATACTATAATAAAACTATATATATAATATACTATATATGCTATATATATATATATATTATAATATATATATTTTATATTATAATATATTATATATTATATGTATATTATATATATTATATAAATAATATTATAATATTATTATATATAATAATATTATAATAATACTATATATAATATATATAATATATATGTATATACTAACTTAATATTTTTTTTTATTACTTTAATAAAAATTATATACTATATGTATATATATATATATATACTAACTTAATATTTTTAATTGCGGTAACCATGGTGCTATGCGTACGTTGTTCGGCAAACCAGGTGGCAAATTTTTAGGATTAGGTATTTTCATAAGTATTTTAACAGGTGATATATATTCGAAAGATTTGTAAAATATATCGAGTATGTGTTTAGGAAATGTTTCTATATTGACCATAGAACCAAAAGAAAAGTATATAAAACCATCTTTGTCGCACTCGTCGGCCCATTTCTTTAATTCCTACGATTTCAAAATAAATTATTATACAATTACATAATCAATTTGTATGCTAATACATTTACTGCATTAGTTTTTCATTATTATTATTAATATTATTATTTATTTTATTGAAATTGTTAAAAAACTTACGGGAGATAATTCGGTATCGTCGTCGTCTTGTACATGCAAACCACCAACTTCGATAAGTGCAGGTGTCTTAGGTTTAATACCGTTCAATGAGAAATAAGTGTTAACCAATATCAATGAAATATTGGTTTCGACTTCACGTACAGATGGCATATTAGGACCTACGTGTTTTTTAATCAATTCGTCTTGATACTTGGTGGTTTTATAATTGAAATACATTTTGTTGAATAACGTGTGCAATGTATTATAAACACGTTGACCAAAATTCATTTCTTTGACGTAACTCAACAAATTGTTACGTACGAATGCTAAATTTTCTGGATTTGCTATATATGGATTGGCCCATGGATAAAGTGCCGATGAACTAACACCGATCACTGGTACGTTCAAAATATTACCAAATATACCAAAACACGATGCACCAAAGATCTATTGTTATTAAAAAAAAAAATTCAATAGAAAAAAAATAATTATGATAAATAGTAAATAGTATATTGTGTATCAATTAATTTTAAATGATCAATAATTAATATTATATTATATTTATTTTAACAATTATAATTTATATTTCTAAATTAATATATATTAATTTATATTACACGAATTAGTTTTAAAAGGTCGAGAATTTTTGTTTTTTTTTTTATATTATTTTATAATTATTTGCAAAATTATAATTGAAATTTCTAAATTAATTATATTAATTTTTATTACATTAATTTATATATATATTTCTATATAAATTATTTTTAAATGAGATCCAAAATTTATATTATATTATATTTATTTTATGTTACATTAATTTATATATATATAAATTATTTTTAAATGATCAATAATATTTATTTCGTTATTTTCCTATAGTTTGTGTTAATTTTTTGTTTTGAAACAAATTCTATCTAATTTCTAAAATATTCCCCTTTTTTTTTTCTTTGACTAAATTTTTATTAAAAATTAATTAATTAATCTTTCAATAGCAAGTAGCAGCATATTATTTAACAATAAATTTCACGTTATTTAAAAATTCTTATTCATCATTATAAATTTCAAATAATTATCTCAACGAAACACCAAAATAATAATATAAATAATAATAATAATAATAATAAAGAAATTGTACCTCGATTAAAACGGCATCGTAGGGTGGATTTTGGGGTGGATTCTTGATGATTTTTTGAATTTCCGGTAATTCTAAATATTCGCATAAATCGTTACCACCAATACTTGCCACAGCGTTTACTGCCATTGCACCACTTAGGGCCATTTTCATAAACTCGTATGAAACGTTATTAACCAATTTCAATTTGACCGGTATGGAAACCAAATCGGTATAATTTTCGACTGGCTTTTTTAACGGGAATGTACTTATTACATCAACTTGGTGACCCTTTTTGGCCAAACCCTTCATCAATGCTTCGAACATGATGAAATGACTTTTACCATGGAACGTAAATATTCCTAATATTCGATAACTTTGACATAACGTTAGACACATGGTCAAACAAACGATTATATACGTTAACACGTTCATTTTGTTCACTCAATTTTTGTCTTATTAATTTTTCTTCACCTTGGCTAATTTCAACGTTCAGATATTGTTCTTTCGTTTATTACTTGAAGATAATTCAAATTCAAACTATGTTTATTGTGTATGAGTTATATCTGTATATATATATATTTACATTATCGTTTAAATTTCACAATTGTCTCATTTCACAATTTCTCAATTGTGACTTTGTTTTTCTTATTTTGTAGAATAAACACACTTGTTCGATTTGAATATTTCCTAGAATAAAATGAACAAAATTTCATGAATAATAATCGTTAGAATTATGTCGTGTTCAATTATAACAATATTTTTTTTTTTTTTTTCATTGATATTCTTTTTTGATTTATCCAAATTGAAAATATAAATTTGTACGATTCATCTAATGATAGATTTAAATTAAATAACAAAACGTGAGAATTTTTCTAAACGACGAAGTATGAGTTGACAGTTTAACACGTTCATTGCCATGTCATCGTATGTCTCGTAGGAGACGGGCATGCTTCTCCGGGGGCCCCGTCACCGTATACGGTGACGCTCCTCCTCTTGTTGAAGTTATAGTATTTTTAGTTGGTTTTTATTTTTTATTATTTTTGATAAATAAACGATATTTTTAAATTTTATTATTTTTGGTAAATAAACGATAGTTTTATATTTTATTATTTTTGGTAAATAAACGATAGTTTTATATTTCATTATTTTTAGTAAATAAAATATTATAATATAATATACAATAATATATATATTTATATAATT